TGATAAGAACGACCATATATTATTATTTATTATTTTCATTTGTTTAGATTTTTGGTTGGTGGTGTGCCTCTTGATTCTTTCAATGAAAACAATGTGCCTAGGCTCAAAAAAGGTTGAAAAATACTGCAGTAGAAAGCAACGTTTAGATGCTGGGAGGAAGAAGAAAAAGTATAAAAAGTGTCCGGTTGTTTAGGGAGCAGCGGATCAGAACCAGAGTCAAGGGAGCAAATGTCATCCTCCTTTACATACATGACTGTAAATAAAGACCCGGACTAAACATGATCTGTTGATCCTGCATATCGATGCTTGATCATTTAAGAAAGGATAACCTATCCTATCTTTAAGGTTTTTAGTGTTTTTTTTTTTTAAGTTTTTACCTGAAAGACAAAGCAAATGGTTAGTGACCAAATGAGCGCAGAGGGTCTACATTCAAAGACTCTGTTCAGGCGGTCAATGACGCCAATCGGTGACGTTAATTCTGGGTTGGAGTTTTCCATTCAAGGAAAACGTGACCAGTGAACAGCTGAGCCAATCAGGAGCAGGCGACCGCCCACTGCTCATTAACTATAGCATTTGAATACTTAGTTGGTTCCTTTTTAGTCTTGAAGTTGAAATATTTTCAAAGCGACTCATCTCAGTTAAAATAAGTCATTAATAACTTATATATAAGTATGTATTTTATATGTGACCTTATGTGTGGAGAACCTTAAATTCTCCTTTTACCAAAATGGAAAGTATTCCACATTTTATTCATTTATTTTTATTGAACTTTTTTTTATGATGTTATTGTCTTAAAATGATGTGTGTGTCTTTAGCCTGTAAGATTTTATTACTTAAGTGCATGACACGTGATCTTGTAAAATTGTTCAAAGTGTTTAATAATTAAAAAGAAAAAAAAGCAACTAAGTATTCAATCGCTGTAGTTAATGAGCAGTGGGTGGTCACCTGCTTCTGATTGGCTCAGCTGGTCACTGGTGACGTCATCCTTAAATGGGATACTCATTCAAGGATCCTTGAATGTTAATGACGTCAATAGGTGACGTCATTTACGTCACCCATTGACGTCATCGACCGCCTGAACAGAGTCTTTGAATGTAGGCCCTCTGCGCTCAATAACTTTTCTTCTCCATTGATTGGACCAGAAGCTCATCAGCCTCATCAGTGAGTTTCTTGTAAAAACTATGCAGTTCGCTTTAGCATTTTTACAAAAAACATAAATATTGCCTTTCTTTTAATACCATCTCTCCAACCCCTAACATTTAAAGGGAAGATTCAGAAAAAATGAGGAGAAGGAAACTGAACCTCTGGCGTTCAGGAAAAGGTCAGAATGAAGCACCGACTCTCTTAAACTGAATCCAGAACAACTGACCTCCAACCAAATAACGAGATTATTAACATTGCCATTTGAGACAGCCTTATTTATTAATTCGGCCGATGTTTCTAAATGTTAGAAAACAAAAGACGACGCGCGACGTCCACTGCGTTGTCAGTAGACGAGGCCCAGTGCTTTGCGATCTCATTGAGATGTCTGTGATTTTCTTTGCGGGCATCTTCGTTATTCTTTTCCTTGAAGCCCTGAATTTTTCAATTCCAGCGCCGTGTCGGTGATATATGATATAGAAATATAAAAACAAAATAGATTTCTAAGTCTTCATTATAGTATTTTTATAGTATTTAAATGTAAATTAGCTACCTACATTGCTAGTTCATATAATATATAGTTACAATACATAAAATACATACTTTTACTGCCAAAGTTTTAATTTATAGGTTTTATTTTGTATTATTTATACTTTTTGTTAAGACTCTTATTTTGAAGGTTTAAGGTAGGAAGTAGATGTAGAAGCGTCTGGTTACCAGGTTACCAGAGACGCTTGCGATATAACAGCATCGCGTTGGCAAGCAAATGAAGAAGCATGATTTAAGTGTAAGAATTTACTGAATGACCTCATTTCTACCTCAAAAGGAAGGGTTAGCCAGCGAGGTATGTTTATATGTTTTACGTTATTTTTATATCGATATTGTATTCTTGACACCATCTCACTAAGTTTACGTTGTGTTTTAGTTCGACGGTGGTGTTGGTGTCAGGGAAACTGAAGCTGTAATAAGAACAACTTTAAAGAGTTTCATTAAAGCTGACTTCACACCAGCAGTGCGACGAACTCTTAATTGCCAAAAAGAAGAAGAGGTGGAAGTGATACATACTTATATATAAGTTATTAATGACTTATTTTAACTGAGATGAGTCACTTTGAAAATATTTCAACTTCAAGACTAAAAAGGAACCAACTAAGTATTCAAATGCGGGCGGCGACAGAGAGTTTGCTTTCCGGGTGAGCGACGCTGACACGCGAGTGGACGACATCAAGAGGAAAGGTCTGATGGTGGACGCTGGTGCGACGTCGCATATAATCACCGACATCGGGAAGTTTCGGAAGCTTGATGAAAGTTTCCAGGCCGAGACGCACTGCGTGGAATTGGCTGATGGATCCAGGTGTTTTGGTGTTGCCAAGAAACGAGGAGACGCGTTAGGTCGACGTCTTAAAACAGTGCTGAGGAACAAATTGTACATCCCTTCATATCCGCAAGACATCTTCTCAGTGAAAGCTGCAACATCCAGCGGAGCAACGGTGATCTTCAAAGAAGAAAAGAACGTTCTTCTCAGAGACGATACCAAGTTCCCCATTCACGTAGGTAACACATTGTATTACTTCCAAACGACGGACAATGGATGTGGATCTCAGTGTAAAAAATGTTATGACTTACAAGGTTGGCGTGAGATTCTTGGACATTGCAATTACAGAGATGTACTGAAGCTAGAAAATGTTGTTCATGGCATGGAAATTAAAGGAAGAGGTGAACCAATGCCATATCGTGAAGTCTGCACGAAAGGAAAATGTGTTCAAACTAACAAGGAGCCAGATGCAAGAGCTAAAGAACCACTAGCAATGGTCCACACAGATTTAGCAGGACCTATAGATCCAACGTCCAAAGATGGTCACAGATATGCATTGTGCTTCACAGATGATCATTCCTTAATCATACGTCACAGATTGACGTCAAAGACCTGTCGCCCTTCTGCGTATGGCAAGCCTTTTTGATATAAAGTCGGTTTCACTGCTCTTACATTCCAGATATCTCAAATTGTTTTATGACCAGACGTTTTAGCAATTTAAGATATCTCTAATTAAAATTTGACTTGACAAAATACCTATTTGAGATAATTACATTCTAACCAGTCCAAATGACGTGAGATTTATTTGTGGCATTTACTGAAAATATAAAATTCTGCAGGCAACTATTCGGACAGCACAAAGGGGCTTTCACCTCATTCAGAATTCAGATATCTAAAATTGTAATTTTGACAGTGATAATTACGTTCAAGAAATCTTAAATCGTAATTCCGGTTACGTGTCTCGTCAAGTTACAGAACAAGTGACGTCATTTGAGATATCTTGCAAGGAATTTTGACCAGTCAAAATGTAATTGAATATCCTGAATTATTATTCTTACTAGTCAGAATGTAAATGCAGATATCTTCAATTATCATTCCGGAGTCAAAATGTAGTTTTGTCAAGTCAAAATGCAATTTTCGAAATCTAGAAAGTAATTACGGTTAATCAGAGGGAACGCAATTTATGTGAAAACGGCTTGCCAGAGCACACTTGAAGCCCGCATCATACGTCACAGATTGACGTCATTGATCGACTGAACCAGAGCCTTTGAATGTAGGCCCTCAGCAGTCATTGCGTCACGAATGATTTTCCTTTGCAGGGAACGTAGACAATACCCATCAAATACAAATTAGATGTAGCTATAGATAGATATCTAGAGATCGATATGCACGTCTTTCTGTCATCTGTCTGTCAAGAGATATGTGATCGATAGACGTGGATATCTATCAAGACATAGTTATCCACGTCAATCTATCGATGTGGATATGTCTAGACATAGATATTTATATATCTATATCTATATATCTAATTTGTAGAGACCCTGGAGGGAGAATCAGTCGCCGAAGACCCTGGAGGACCCGTCGCCGAGGACGCTGGAGGACCCGTCGCCGAGGAAGCTGGAGGACCGAACGATGAGAAAATCGATGAGAAAACACACTGATAACAGAGGCCCATTGTGCAGAACATTTTATATCACGTTTAACTGTCTGGTCTATTCATGTAGGGGGGATGCATTTTAATTTCTGAGCCTGCACAGCTTATTATTAGCCTACCGATTTTTGCATGCCCTCCCTATTTTCCTGAAATATTAACCCATTCATAAACCTCATAGCGTAGTTTATAGTAGTCAGCCACCAATTGTGCAAGTTCTCCCACTTAAAAAGATGAGAGAGGCCTGTAATTGTCATCATAGATATTCCTCAACTATGAGACAAAAGAAGAAAAAAAAATTTCAGATTGTCTTTTTGTTTTGTTTTTTGTTATTTTTGGTTTATTTTGTTTTTTCTTTTTATAATTCCATTTGTTAGTGTTATTTTGAAACAATAATCCTGTGTATATCTTAGTCGTCTAATCATCCCTTTATGATGATGTCTGGTATCACACACAGATACTAGTAAGAGAAACTGCATCTCATGTTGGCGTATTAGGCAGGCTCCCATTGTGTCTGTTATGAATTGAAACTGTAACCAACTAGTTTAACTTACTGTAGGAGCCAATTGTTGTCACCACCAGAGGGCGTATTGTTTTGTTTTCTGAGTGTGAGAGGGATGGGTTATTTAAGGTCGATTGTAATGGTGTTCAGGTGTTGACCATGGGGAAGAGGACACAGTTTTTTACTGGTTTGGTTTGACGGGTAGAAACGAACTTTATGTATGTAAATGGAAATTATAATAAAAGACTTTCATACTATAGAAGAGCACTACTCTGAAACTTAATCCGAACGCACGTAAAAACGAACTACACCCAGAGGCAACCACTAGTAGCCCTAAAGTAAAGGATTTTGGACGCTACAATATTAAGTAAAAAACTTTCTTCGTTTGAAAGTTCGTTTGAAAACTCCACCGAGCCTTCTGCACTGGGGTTCCACTAACGCTGAGTCGGACGCCGGAGCGGAGCTGGAGAGCTGCAGGGATCGAGCTATTGGAGCAACTGGGATTCGTAGCAGCGGACAGCGGGACGCCGGACGTCGGAACCGGGACGCAGCGGACAGCGGGACGCTGGACGCCGAAGCGGAGCTGAAAGGTTGCAGGGATCGAGCTATTGGAGCAACTGAGATTCGTAGCAGCGGACAGCGGGACGCCGCGGATGTCGGAACCGGGACGCAGCGGACGCCGGAGCGGAGCTGGAGAGCTGCAGGGATCGAGCTATTGGAGCAACTGAGATTCGTAGCAGCGGACAGCGGGTCGCCGGACGTCGGGACCAGGACGCAGCGGACAGCGGGACGCCGGAACGGAGCTGGAGAGGAAAAGCTGCAGGGATCGAGCTATTGAGCAACTGAGATTCGTATCAGCGGACATCGGGACGGAGATCATCAATATCGGCCAACGCATCATTGGGGTATGTGGGTCAGCGCTGATATCAATGAATGACCATTATGGTTACGTGCGCACATCAAGAGACAAGCTTAAATCCAATGCATTGTTAGCAGCCTGAAGACTGCGTAGAACAAAGGAGAGCGCTCTACAATTAATCTACTATTTGCCAATAAACTTAAAGTTGTTGCCAAATATGACAGAAGAGGAAAACATCGCTCTGGATCAAGAGGGTCAAAGTAACATTGTGGGTGATGACGAAAGTTCTCAATGGGAGACTGGAAAGAGACAAGTGAAATTAACAGCTAAAGCTTTGTTGATGAAAATTAGTAGCTTAGAAAGTGAAAGAAAAGCAAATTTAAGTAAGCTCACAAAATTAAGACAAGCTATTACAGTGTTGAAAAGTGACAAAAGGTGTGTGAGTGACATTAAGGGAGAATTTAAAAGGTTTTTGGGTTTGACTGAAGAAACACAAAAGGTTCACCAGGGTTTGTTAGGATTACTGCCTGTGGATGAAGCGCACAAACATGACATATGGTTTCAAGCAAAAATGTTGAATGTTCATGATTTTATTGCGGCTACGCACAAATGGTTGGCTGAGGCTCAAGGTGGCTCAGCTGGTGTGTCTGATGATATTAAAGAAAGTAAAAGTAAAAATAACAATGAAACTGAATCAAGAACTCCCAGTGGTGGCGGGATCATGATGGACAATGAGCAGATTGAACCTCATGACAGCATTTCAAATGTTTCAGTAAGGTCTTTTAGGAAAGCTGGGAGCCAAAGGGGTTCATCGACAACAACCAGCAAATCTTCGCTTTCTGAGCAAATAAAAGCAGAAGCAGAAAGGGCTGCACTTTTGGCATGTGCTGCCGCTTTAAAAGAGAAGTATATGCTGGAGGAGCAGGAATACCTGCTAAAGAAAAGAAAAGAACAGCTTGAGATGGACACTAAAATAGCTGCTGCTAATGCCAAGCTAATGGTACTAGAGGGCAGCACTAAAGGCAGCATCACATCTAGGCACTCTGATGGAATGGATTCATATGTTCGAAAGGGCGCTAGACCTAAGCTCAAACCTGCAAAGAAACTTCCAGGAGGTTCTGGACTGTTGTTGGATAAAAAGGTTTGAGATGTGGCACAGCATGTGAAAAGCATATTTCACCGCAGGTGGATGAGACTGTTTTCAATACTTTGGTGTCACAAGTGGCTCCCCCTGCTGTTCGAACTTCGGAAGCTTCCATTATGTTACCCAATCCCAAGGCTACAACTCTAACCAGTCTGTTTCCATCAACTCAAAATCAACCTAATGGAGAACTTTATAATGTGTTGAAACAACAGAATGATATAACATCTCTTCTGGTTCAAATGCAAACAAGCCAGTTACTGCCACACCGAGAAATTCCCATCTATGATGGCGATCCTTTACAGTACAACTCCTTTATGAAAGCCTTTGAACATTGTGTGGAAGCAAAGACCAGTTGTAAAGGAGACTGTTTGTACTACCTAGAACAGTACACCAGGGGGCAACCAAGAGACCTCATACGTAGCTGCCTTCACATGACTGCAGAAAGAGGATATGCGGTAGCCAAGCAACTCCTCAAAGAACATTTTGGCAATGAATTTAATATTACTGCAGCCTACATGGAAAAAGTCACTGGTTGGCCAAACATTAAAGGTGAAGACGCTAAAGCACTAAAGGCATTTGGACTGTTCCTTCGTGAATGCTGCTGCAATGCAACTGCAGTATTTATATGAGTTAAGCATGCCAGCTAACATGAAGATCTTGGTTCAAAAGTTCCCTTTAAACTAAGAGAAAAATGGAGAACAAAAGCCAATGAGATTTTTGAGAGAACTGGTCTAAGAGCATGTTTCAAAGATATGGTTGTGTTTATTGAACACCAGATTAGGATAATCTCAGATCTGGTTTTTGGAGATATACAGGACTTACAACCTGCTAGAGGAATCATAAGACCTAGCAAACCTCCAGCAAAGTCACAGTTTAAAAGAAACAGCTTTGTCACACATGTTTCAGTGAATGATGACTGTAACTTACCGTCTCTCAAAAATGAAGTAACTGTTGTTGACAAATCAAAAGATTTATTCTGTCTGTATTGTACACAGGATGGTCATGTATTGGAACAATGTCGACAATTAGGAAAGAAACCACACAGAGAAAAGCTAGACTTTCTAAAAACCAAAGGTTTATGTTTTGGTTGCTTGGATACAGGACATTTAAGCAAGAACTGTGATAAGCGCAGTACTTGTAAACACTGTAACCAAAAGCATCCCAGCATTTTACACATTGAACAGAAGGAAAAGACCCCTCAGGAAGAGTGGGTTCAGACAGCAAAGGGCTGTAAAACCTCCTCCACATGTGGTCATACTGGGGCTGGTCACCGTAAAGGGATTCTTCCAATCCTGCCTGTGAAAGTGAAAAGTTTAAAAGGAACTAAGATTATTAAAACATATGCCTTTCTGGATCCAGGGAGCACTGATACATTCTGCTCTGAAAGACTTCTTAATGAGCTCAACGTTCAAGGTCGAAAGGCTCAGATTCATCTCCGAACAATGGGTCACAGTAAAACAATGACAACCTCCATCATTAATGGTCTGGAGATTCAGAGATAAACGGAAATCATTTCTATGAGCTTCCCATTGTGTTTATACAAAAAGAAATGCCAGTCTCCACCGACAATATCATCAGTGAGGAGGAGCTGTCAAAATGGTCGTACTTGAAGGACATTAAACTTCCTCGCATACATGCTGGGGTCGACCTGCTAGTGGGCACAAATGCATCTAAACTAATGGAACCTTGGGAGGTGGTTAATAGTAGGGGTGAAGGGCCCTATGCAATTAGAAGCCTCCTAGGATGGGTTGTGAATGCTTCCTCAGAAGGTTGCAAGGACTTTGAAAATGGCTACCCTTCAGTTCAAGTCAACAGAACTACAGTTGATAAAATTGAAGAGCTTCTGATAAGCCAATACAACTATGATTTTATTGAGAAGTCCTTCACAGAACAAGAGGAAATGTCAAGAGAAGAACAAAAATTCCTGGCTATAATGGATGGTTCTGCGCAGCTAGAGAATGGACATTACAAACTAAATCTGCCTTTCAAAAGGGAAGAACTCTTTATGCCAAACAATATTTCAGTCGCTTTGCAGCGCATACTTGGTTTGAAAAGGAGATTTAAAAGAAACAAAGTGTTTCATGAAGAGTATACAAACTTCATGACTAATACTATTAATAGTGGACATGCAGAAAGGGTTCCACAGCATCAGCTGAGAACAGCAAAGGACAAAGTATGGTATATACCGCATCATGGTGTATACCATCCACAAAAACAGAAGCTGCGTGTGGTATTTGATTGTGGAGCAGAGTATCAAGGGATCTCTCTTAACAGTCAGCTTTTACAGGGCCCTAACCTAACTAGCTCATTGGTGGGGGTTTTAGTGAGGTTTCGGCAGGACTATGTGGCGTTAATGGCAGACATAAAATCCATGTTCCACCAGGTTAAGGTGTCTGATGAGCACGTGGACTTTCTACGCTTCGTATGGTGGCCCCAAGGTAATTTAGAGCAAGATCTTGTGGAATACCGTATGACTGTTCACTTATTTGGTGCAGTCTCCTCACCCAGCTGTGCTTGCTATGCTCTCAGAAAGACTGCTGAGGATAATCAGTCAAACTTCTCAGCAGATGTTGTACAAACAGTCAACAAAAACTTTTACATGGATGACCTCTTAAAAAGTCTGCCATCTGAGGAAAGTGCAGGTGCTATGGCCAAAGATCTTATAGCCATTTGTAGCAGAGGAGGGTTTACGCTAACACAATGGGTTAGCAACAGCCGAGAAGTGCTGGAATGTATCCCAGGAGAGCTGTGATCCCAAACTCTTTGCGAGTTGAATCTGGACAGTGATGAGTTGCCGGTAGACAGAGCACTAGGTCTACTATGGTGCACAGAGACAGATCGTTTCAAGTTTAAAGTGAAAATCAAAGAAAAGCCTTCCACTAAAAGAGGTATATTGTCAATAATCAGCTCTATTTATGACCCGCTAGGATTCCTAGCACCTCTCATACTTCCTGCCAAACTGCTGTTACAAGAGTTATGCAGGGCAAAAACTGAGCTGGGATGAGCCCATACCTCTAACCTTTCAAAAACAATGGAACCAGTGGCTTACTGACCTAGAGGGATTGACTGACTTCTGGGTTAGCAGATGCATCAAGCCGAGGGGTTTGGAGAAGTGGTTAATGCTCAGTTACACCACTTTTCTGACGCTAGTGAGAGTGGGTATGGCACAGTTACATATGTTAGAATGCAGAATAACAATAAGAGGGTGCATGTATCATTCTTGTTTGGCAAGGCCAGAGTAGCTCCACTCAAACCTGTGACTATTCCACGTTTAGAGCTCACAGCTGCCGTAATGGCTGTCAGATTGAATAATATGCTTCAATCAGAGCTTCAGCTGCCGTTGGAGAAGGCTTGCTTTTGGACTGACAGCACATCAGTTCTAAAATATATAAAAAACGAAAACAGAAGGTTTCAAGCCTTTGTTGCTAACAGGGTGACAACCATTAGGGATAATACAAATGTGGAACAATGGAGACACATATCTTCATCTTTAAATCCTGCCAATGTTGCTTCCCGTGGGTTTAAGGTTGACAGCCTTTTGCACCAAAAGTGGACGGAAAGTCCTACATTCTTGTGGGAACCTGAAGATAAATGGCCCAAGTCTCCAGTGGACTTCAGTATAACTGCTGTCGACCCAGAACTAAAAAAAACTCCCTTGATCAATGCGACAGTCATTAATTCAAATGCAACTTCTCAGCTAATAGCGTTTTTCTCAGACTGGCAAAAATTGAAGTCTGCAGTGGCTTGGTTCATTAAGCTAAAGGGAGTTCTGTTGAAACTGAGTAAAAGAAGAAGGGAATTGCAACTGACCAATTCAAGCACGTCTGAAGCATCA